TATTTATTATTTTTTAAAATATATTTTTATTGATTTCAGAGAGGCAGGGAGAGGGAGAGAGAAATAGAAACATCAATGATGAGAGAGAACCATTGATTGGCTGCCTCCTCCACGCCCCACACCGGGGATCAAGCCCACAACCCAGGCATGTGCCCCAACCCGGAACCAAACCATGACCTCCTGGTTCACAGGTCCACGCTCAACCACTGAGCCACGCCGGCCGGGCCTGAGCTTTTTATTCATTGTCTCTCATGGTGTGTTCTTGTGAACACATGTCATAGAATGACTGATACTGATCAGTTACCCTTACATTTCGAAAAATGCACATTGGCAGAGGTAGAGGGGGATGGATGGGCTGGTCCCAGGGGGCTCTGCAAGATGGGGGCTCCCACAGTAGGTGGGCCATGGGAAAGGCAAAAAGGAGCCCCTTCTGGGGCAGCGACTCAGTGTCCTGGTTTGTGAAACCTGATAATGCATCCAACCTGTGGGGGGTGAGAACAGGAAACGATGAGAAAAGCCTGAAATGAAAGCCTCTCCTCTGTTGAGGGAGGGCCGGCGAGGTACTGAGACCTGCCCTGACCAGAGGCCCCTGGGCAGTGGTGGACAGTGCCAGGTCAGGCTCAGTGACCCTCGCTCCAGAACGCTCCAGACTCATCAGGCACGGCCTCTGTCACCACTCTGCAGGCTCCTCTGCCCTCTGGCCAGCTGGGTTTTCCATCCCCCTTTCTCCTCCTGGGCAGGCCTGGACAGGCTTAGGGCCTCCAGGTCATCTAGTCAGTTGGGGAGGGGCCCAGTGCAGGCCGTGACCAGACATTCACTCCTTCCCAGCCCGCCCACCTCAGTAGACCTGCATGGCCTCCCCTTACCCTTCAGGCCCTCAAGGCCATTGGGGGAGGCTGAACCATCTGCCCCTGCCCCAGACGCCCACCATCGGTGCCCTCACCGGCTTTCTTGGTCTTCCTTTGCGTCCTGACCCTGCGCCAAGTGCTCTGCACACAGAATCTGCTCAAAATACCCCCCTCCCCGCCACAGATGAGGAAACCGAGGCTCAGGGAGGCCTCCTACCTGTCTACTGTCAGGCTGGGTTCCAGAGCCCAGTTGCTCTACCACTCAGCAGTCCTGCCTTCCTCAGCCCACCTGCCTCGTGCTTCTTGATTCACTCACTAAAACTTCCCATGGCCGCAGGGAAACTTGGATTTGCAGGAGTGGGGCTGCAAGAAAAATGAAAGGGGCGGACTTCCTGTGGCTGGGCATCAGATGGGCCAGGCCTGACCCTGGTCCTGGATCCTCTGGAAGGATGTCCCTTATGGGCCCGTGTTGGGGGGAGGTTCCCCAGGGTGCCCTGGGGAGAGAACAGGGCTGGGCGGGGCCTGAATCCTAGGTTTGCAGGGTCAGAGCCATTTCCAGCTCACCTTGACGCGGTGCTCAAGGCCCAGAGCAGGCAGGTGTGGGCCCAGGTGCAGTCCCTAGAGAGCCACCCTCGGTGTGCCTAGGCTGCCCCCTAGTGGCAGCATGAGGAAGCTCCCGAGGACTTTGAAACCCTTGGGGTGGACACCTGTCCTCAATCCATTTCTCTCTTCCCGTGCCTCTGCTCCCTGAGTTTTCCCAAATGTGCAATCACTCATTTTCACACATCGCAGGGTGTTTACTTCTGCTCTTCCCACCGCTAGGATGCCCTCCTCCCTAGCTGCCCCAGTGCCCATGGTCAGAATTAGCGACGTCTTCCTCTGCTTTGCAGGGTTCGAGTCTTATTCTATCCCAGTGGGTGGAGCAGCCCATGCATGGTGTGAATGCTGGGAGCACAGATCAGTGTCTGGGCCCAGCACAGGGGCCACATTCAAGGGATGGTCAAAAACTACTTGTTCCTTCATCCAGCACTTACTTATCTATTTATACAAGAGAACATTTGTTTGGAAAATAAATGGGCTTAGCAAACAAGTTACAGAGGTAAAGGAAGGGCCCTGGGAGCTTGGGAGTGAAGTCGGCACACACTTATTGGGGACCTGCTACAATGCTGGGCGATGAACAAGCCAAAGAAGTCCCTTCCTTTGGGGGGACTCACATTCTGATGAGGGAATGGCTGTGGGGGTGGAGCCAGAAATAGAAAATACCAGGTGTGGCTGAGGACTATGGAGAAAAATAAAGCAGGTGGGGACTGAACAGAGGGGTGGAGGTGCCACTGTACACCCCAGACCTGGACGGTCCTGCAGCTGTTGGGGGAAAAAAGGAGAGTGATCTTGGCCGATGGTCAGGGAAGGATGCAAAGTTAAAAAATGATGGAATATTGAAACAGGTGCTAACAGCAAGTGGATCTTGTCGCCTTTGGGGGCTGTCATGTGCCCCTCAAAGTGAATTGGAAGGTTCTACACTCCTGGTGAAAAAAAAAATAGATGGAATAATGGAGGTGGCATAATTCATGTTGGGTTGCATTTGTGGTTCTCATGGAATTCGTTATTGCATTTGATTTTAAAAGTGTGCAGATTAGAGTTTCTATTCTCTAAACTGCTGTTGCTCTTCCAGTGCGTGGGAATCACATTTGTCTCCAGCCCTCAGCCTGGGGCACCAGGATCTCCAGCGCGGGAGGGCTGGGCTGTCCGCTCCAGCAGGAGCAGCTGTCTCATTGCTCTTCATCCTCAGGTTCCATTCTGGGTTGTGAGCTCCCAGGGATCTGATCGTTTGAAACCCTGTGAAAGCTGAGAAGAGATCCTTGTATGCCCATGTTCATAGCAGCACTATTCACAGTAGCCAAAAATAGTCAAAATACCCCAAGTGTCCACTGATGGATGAATGGGTAAACATCACTTAGTACACCCATACAAAGGAATATTATGGAGCCTTAAAAAGACGTGAAATTCTGGCTGGCCAGCATGGCTCAGTGGTTGAGTGTTGACCTATGAACCAGAAGGTCATGGTGGGATTCCTGGTCAGGGCACATGCCCGTATTGCGGGCTTGATCCCCAGTGTGCAGAAGGCAACCGATCGATGATTCTCTCGCATCATTGATGTTTCTATCTCTTTCACCCTCTCCCTTCTCTGAAATTAATAAAAATGTTTTAAAAATAAATAAAATTCTGATATGTGCTACAATGAGGACATCATGCTAAGTGACATAAGCCAAACATAAAAAGGTAAGTTTACTACACCCAGTCCACTTACATGAGGTCCCTAGAGTAGTCAAATTCGTAGAGATAGAAAATAGATTAAAAGTTATCAGGGGTTGAGGAGAGAGGGGAATGGGTTGCTGTGGCTTAATGGGTACAGAGTTTCAGCTTTACAGGGTGAAAAGAATTCAGGGGATCGCTTGTACAACAATGTCAATTACTGAATTGCTCACAAAATTGGTTCAGATGGTAAATTTTATGTTATGTATATGTTATCACAATTTTTTTAAAAAAGTGTGAGCTGGTCTGTGTTGCCTCCCACAGACTATTTGAGCCTACTTTTTCACTGAAAAAAAAAAAAATGGGTGGTTATAAACCTGAGGGGATGATCATGGCCCTCAGTGGATGAGGCAAAGTGTTTCCTCCCCAGACCCAGCCCCGCAGCACTCCGCTCACGAGGGTGAGTGCGTGTGTGCACATCACAGCTGCCTCCTTGGCTCCCATGCTTTGAGGACGAGGCAGCAGTAAGTGTGTCGCGTTGAGACAGCCCCGGGCCTGCCTCTTACCTGTTCCTGCCTTCAGCCCGGGGACAGCATGGAGGAACCTTCTGAACCCAATTCACCAACTAACTCCCCGAAGAACCTGCCAGGGGCTCCAAACCTCCTGCCCAGGAATGCTTCCAGCAATTTCCTCCTGCACTTGGGGAGGCAGTGCCCTTCCTCTGACAGCACAGTTGGACTTAGGGGAACCAAGGGACAGCGAGACAGAAGCAGAGGATGAAGACCACCCCTCGTCTCCGGTCTCCTTGAGGGGGAACCCCAGAAGGCCCTGGTGGGAAGTGGTTCTGGAACGGCGGGACCTGAGCGGAAACCCTGAACCTCAGCAGCTCTTGGTAAAATGGAGTAGATGTGGACATGCTCTCTTGGGGAGGCTCCCAGGGAAGCAGCTGGAAGACTCTGACCCCTCCCTCCACAAAGGGTCACACTGCCCCTGGGCAGGGACACCTTTGAGAAAGGTGGGCTGTGCTAAGCTTTGGGGGCCCTGCTTCTTAGCCCTGGCTCTTGGCTGGCCTCTTGGCGACCCTGCCAGTAAGCAGATCCTGAGCTGTCCCCCTCTACAGATCAAGGGAGTACCCTCTCTCCTCCCCCAGCTGGGAAAACACGTGTAGCCCTTTCGGGCCCCCTGGACAGAACAGAGGGAGGAGAAGCCGTTTGTGTTCCCTTGGTTGTGCTTTCACTTCTATTTCTTTAAAATATATATTTTTTTATTGATTTCAGAGAGGAAGGGAGAGGGAGAGAGAGAGATAGAAACATCAATGATGAGAGAGAATCATTGATCGGCTGCCTCCTGCACGCTCCACACTGGGGATCAAGCCCACAAGCCAGGCATGTGCCCTGACCGGGAATCGAACTGTGACCTCCTGGTTCATAGATCGATGCTCAACCACTGAGCCACACCAGCCGGGCTTCCTTTCTCTTCTAAATTATTCTTTTTTGGCCCTGGCCCGATAGCTCAGTTGGTTAGAGTGTCGTCCTGATATGCCAAGATTGAGGGTTCAATCAACCAATGAATGCATGAATGGGTGGAGCAGCAAATCGATGTTTCTCTCCGTCTCCCTTCCTCTCTCTTTGAAATCAATAAAATAAAATATTCTTTTTATTATTTTCTATTTTAATGCGGGGCTGAACATAAGACAGAAAACTAACATTCTGGTCACTTTTTTTAAGAGGCAAGCTTTCCTTGAGACTTTCATACATAACCATGGGATGGATAACATTCACCTCTTAAAGAAAACGCTGAGCGAACACAGAAAGGCCCTTCTCCGAAAGCCTGTCGTCGTTACTGACAACTCCAAACCAGCCTGTCACACTCGAGGGGCTGCTTGTCCTCTGGCACGCGGGGGACATCTGAGTTCAGACGGAAGCCCTGCTGCTCTCAGAGGCTGCGGATGCGGGAGGCTGCCATCGGGTTCACACAGTGGTGCTCTTGGAGGCGAGGAGGGGTGCTGGCGAAAGGGTCTGTGTGCTTGCTTCTCCTCTGGCGGGGCGTGGATGGCCAGAGGCCACTACCCCCTCTGATAGCCTTGCTCACTCATCATGGAGGGCCATGTAATCCAGCAGGTGGGCTGGGACAAGACCTCTGAGGCCGCCTGACTCCCCATAATAGAATCCCCTGTCATCCACAGGCCCGTAGACTGTCACCAGGTCCCCAGCCTTCAGCGACAGCTTGCCCTTCACCTGGCCCCCTGCCCACCCGTCCTTGGGGTCATAGTCCAGAGCTGCCATCATGGTCATTCGAGTGCACAGTGGAGCTCCCCTGGGGTTCCCTTGGGGCAGGGGAAAGGAGTCCTGGGGGATGGTGAGCCCCCCAACTTCATCTAGGTGGGCCACAGAGGGCAGGTGCCCTTGCACTGGCAAATGCCACCTGCTCTCAGTCCTCTCCAGACCGTCCTCCACCTCAGCCACCAGATGCCCAGGGATGTTGCCCACTTGACCGTTGCATTCCCCACGGTAGAAGCCGTGGGCGTCCTGAGAGCCCCACACTCTCAGCAACTGCCCTTTCTGGAAGGCCAGCTCCTCCTCTGCAGCCTCGGGGTTGACAGACATCACCAGGGGCTCATAATCAAAGAGCGCCACAAAGACCCTGGCCGCGGTGTCCCGGCCCGCCTCCAGCTGTGGGGGGCCTCCCCCGGACACCGTGAGGACTTTGCTGGACGAAGCTGGGCAGGGCGCAGAGCGGGGCTCGTGGAGCTGGCTCTCTCTCTTGCCCCACAGAGCCTGACCTCGCCTGCTCTGCGCCCCAAGCTCCCTTCTCTGCTCTTGCCTCTCTGTGGCCCATGGGCCGAAGCAGGCTGCCTCTTCCTCCTGCTGCAGACTGTCATGGAAGTCAGACATATGTCGTTGGCGGCTGCCTGTCTGGGGAGGTGCGAACACTTGGGCGTCTTGCTTTTGCCTCAGGACCTTCTCGAGGGCAGCCCTTTCCTGACAGGCTTCTCTCCTGGGTGCAAACTCGGGGGACAGATGGAGGACTCCCAGAGCAGGGCTTTGGCTGGTGTCCATGTGCCAGTCACCGTCTTCCTCCCCCCGAGATTGGCCACGGTGCAGAGGTGGCCTGTGGTTCCGAGGACTCTTCTGAAAGAGTAGGTCATTTCTGCAGACCTCCCAGGCCTCCGCCGGCCCCTGGGTTTGGCTGCCAGCCCCTGCACCGGGACATTCTCCTTCTGGACTCAGGTTGGGCATCGGGGTGTGCTTCCTCGGGGGTTCTTCGGGGAAGGCTTCTAGGGACCCCCCACCGCTTCGGGGGATGTGGGAACTAGCCTTGGCACTCGGTGGAGCCAGCGCCAGCCTCTGAGGGCAGACAGGGACGGTGATTCTGGACGGGGACTGGTCGCCAGGGGTGTAAATAAAGGGAGAGGTCTCTGGCAATCGGTTACAGTTCAGACAGTCCTGGGGGATCTGGGCCGGCACCGAATCCAGTGACTCGCCACAAAGCGAAACGGTTCTCACCGAGACCTTCTGGCACATCACGGGCAGCTGGAGCCGGGACAACTCCAACAGGGTGCTGCCAGCGGTGGCATCGGTGACCTCGGCAACCTTGAGCCCATCGGCATACACGGCATAGCCAGTGACCCGGACTCCATTGGAGAACCCGGCCAAGTCGATCGTGACGGGGAGCCAGCTGACCACCAGGAGGCCTGGTAAGGTGTGACGCTCAACCAGCACGTCCAGTGGAGGGTCCGGGGGTCCTGCCAAGGGCGTGTCAAAGGTGAGAGCGGAGGACATGGTTTCCCAGCGCACCTGCATGGAGTCCCACGGCAGCTGCACCTCCACTTGCACCTGGTACCGGGTGCTGGGATGCAGGTTGTGGAAGGTGTAGCTGCTCACACCTGCTGGGGTCAGGGCATGCTTCTGGTCATTGAGATACACGATGTGTGGGCGGCAGCAGCTGCTGGAGACCCAGACGATCTTGGCCGATGTGGCCACAACGTTCTGCAGGCGTAGTTGTTTGGGGGCTACACAAGGGACCCCTTTGGGCCCTAGAAGGGGTCCGGAGAAGCCCTGCTCCTCCACACTCTGCAGTGAGCCCAGCCAGCCATCTTCCGTCTTGGTGTCTGAGGTCTCCATGGCCACTTCTGTCTTGGAGGCCGCCCTCACCATCTGGCACGTCTCCCTGTCCACAGGCCCCTGAGCTTCCCCAGGCAATAAGCTGTGACTAATGTCTTCCTTTGAGGTTTTGCCCTGTCCGGCTGGGAGCTGAGGGGGGCCAGGGTCCGAGGACTCTGGGGGCAGGCAGTCAAGGATGTCGTTGTCTGGAATCTGCACCACCAGGTTGGAGGGCACCAGGCCCCGGCGGCCATCCTCAAGCTCCCCTTCATAGAAGCCGTCCTCATCCATCTCACCGAAGATATACACATACTCGCCAGCTGTGAGGGGCAGCTCACTCTCGGGGTGCTCATTGGGCCCCTCAAATGGGTTGTAGCTATATCGAACCAGGAAGATTTTGAGCTTGGGGGCGGCGGGGGTCTCTGAGTCCCCCACTTCCAGGGTCAAGGACGCACTGTCAGGATCCAGATCCTCCACCTCACTGGCCGTGTCCATGTCCAGAGTAAGGCAAGAGGGCACGGTGGCCCACACAGATTCCACCTCAGAGGAGGAGTTGGACTGGTTGCTGGTTTTCTTGGCCTGGGGTCTGCAGTCCAGAGGCTGGCTGGCTGGGACTCTGTCTGGCCCTTGAGGGGCACTGGCTGGCTCCCCGAGGGCAAGTGGGCTCTCTAGCAGAGAGGCGTCCTCCTCCTGTTCGTCTCTGCTGGACTGTGGAGATGCCTGGTCTTCAGGCGCTGGCTGGAACCGGGTCCTTCTGCTCTTCCTGCCTTGGGAATCCGGGGCTTGGGAGGTCTCCGGGGGTTGCTGGGGATGGTGACCAGGCTGGCACCGCAGCACCCCCATTTCCTCCCGGGCAGCCTCGAGATCACACAATGCCTTCTGCAGGTCACGCTGCAGCTGTTGCTGCTTGTCCTGCTCGCGCGCCGCCTGCTGCAGCAGCTGCTCCACCAGCAATTCGGTGGCGTCGCGCTCCTGGCACGCGCGGCCCAGCTGCTCGCGCACGTCGTTATTCTCGGCCGCCAGCTTCCGCGTCCAGTCGGCTTGTGCCTGCAGCCGCGCGTTCTCCTTGGCCAGCCAGGCGCCCTCGCAAAGCGCGGTCTGCAGCTGTGCCTCCGCCTCCTCGCCGCGCCGCCGAGCCGCCGCCGCCTGGGCCCCCAGCTCCTGGCACTCCTGCCTCCGCGCCGACAGCTCTCGCTCCAGCGCCTGCACCTGGCACCGCGCCCCCTCGCCGGGTGCGCTCCGGCAGCTCGGCTCCGCCAGGGCGCTGCGGGCGCTGGCCGCGACCCCATCAGCGGGCGGGACGCTGCCGAGGCCCGAAGCGACGAGCGCCTGCAACAAGCGACACTCCTGCTGCAGCTCTTCTATCTGCTGGTCCTTAGCCAGCAGCGCG